GTTTTGAGCTTTCTTAAGGCAGTGGGAGCTGTAAAGTTCTTCCAAAGAGGGGAGAGGGCAACCAATGATCCTCTGGGGAGTGGTGGTAGCCCTCTGGAGCGCTTTCCTATCTGCCACTGTGCAGTTAGCAAACCATACACAGGTGCAGTAGGTTAAAATGCTCTCTATAGTGTAGTGGTAGAAGGTCACCAGCAGTTTTTCATTCAGTTGTTGTTTCCTGAGAAGTCTCATGTAGTATAATCTCTGCTGGGCCCTCTTAACCAAGGTGGTAGCCCTCTGGAGCGCTTTCCTATCTGCCACTGTGCAGTTAGCAAACCATACACAGGTGCAGTAGGTTAAAATGCTCTCTATAGTGTAGTGGTAGAAGGTCACCAGCAGTTTTTCATTCAGTTGTTGTTTCCTGAGAAGTCTCATGTAGTATAATCTCTGCTGGGCCCTCTTAACCAATGCTGCAACATGAGTGCCACAGGTCAGGTCCTCCTTTATGGTAACACCCAGAAACGTAAAACTGGCCACCTGCTCCACTTGGTCTCCATTGATAACCAGGGGCTGGACGTCTAATCTATTCCTTCTATAGTCCACTATAAGCTCCTTGGTCTTATTGACATTGAGGGCCAAATTATTGTCTCCACACCACGAAACATTAATGTTTAAACATACTTGGAATACTAAACATTTGTTTTCAGATATATATAAGGCCCATGGTTCTTCAAAACCCTCCGGAAGGCCAGGAGTGAGGGGGCCAATCTCACCTCAGGGGGCAAGATATTCTATAGCAGAGAAGGCCTGCCTTCTGGACCCCGCTAATCGGAGCTCTTTTACTGAGGGGGTCCGGAGCATACCTTCTCTGTGTGATCGGGTGGGATGGGTTGAAGTCATGGGGAAGAGGCAGTCCCTCAGGTAACCTGGTCCCACACCATGTAGGGCTTTAAAGGTAATAACCAACACCTTGAATTGGACCCAGAAGCAACTGGTACCCAATGCAGCTCGTGGAGCAATGGTGTTATATGGGTCCTTCTTGGGGCTCCAAAAATAGCCCCCGTGGCTGCATTGTGGACCAGCTGTAGCTTCTGGATACTCTTAAAGGGTAGCCCCATGTAGAGTACATTGCAGTAGTCTATCTGGGAGATAACAAGGGCACGAGTGATTGTTCAAAGGGCAGTTATTGTATAACAATAGCAACATCACTAATAAATATGAGAAAGTATGATAGTTCTCACTATCAACAAGAATTGACCATGAACATGTTAACAAAATTTTCAGTGAATTCAGAGCACACAGAAGAATTGCCTGACATCTGTTGCCATGGACAGGGAACATGGAAAGGTCATCTGTTAATTAATTAAGGTATTAATTTTAGTTAGAATAGAAATCAGAGAGCTAGAAAAATTAGATGTTTTAATAAAATAGGCTAAAGAACACCAATAAGTCCCCCGCTTTTCAAAACAGTTAGGAAGAAGAGTGTGTGTTTACCCAGTGCCTGGACCGTAACAAGACAAAAATCTAGCGAACCTGTAACAGTTTCATTTTCTGGTTTTTTCCAATCCAGTATGATAAAAGATGGACATCCCTCAACAGTCACCACAGTGAGGTTCGTGGGAGGTTTTTGGGGGGCACTAGTAGCCAGGTCTGTGTTGTCCCCCATCTCTGCTGGAAAGTGCTGCAGAGTATCTGTGATGGAGCATGGAGTGTCTTCTTTTTTTGGCAAGTATTTCACGTGGTCACCTGAAGAGACAAGATCAGCATTTAGACTGAGCATGAAAAAGATGATAAAGCAATCGAAATATATCACTTTAGATGGTGGTATATTACTTTAGTTAGTTGTTCACAAAGAGAAATGCTTTTCCGCAAAATAATTTCTCTATAAACTTCTTAACGAGAGAATACATAGATGCTAGCTTGGAACCCTAACCCCTGATATCTACTTAGAAAAAAACACAATGTTTCTATGTTTGATCCTTGGAAGTATTTGGCTGCCCAAAATGTAAAACAGAAGCCTCAGATCCTTGAAATATGCTTACTTTCCAAAATGGGTAAAGCTAAAATCAGAGCATCTTTGTCAGATATCTCTTTTCTCTTTTACATCTGAAAATATGATCTGTGCATCTAAATTTGTAAATTTCTTGGGTCCTGCCTACATCTTCAGTTAAGCCAGAAATAAATTTGGTCAGCACTGAAACAGGGATGTTATGGAATCATTGAGATTTGAGATCGTTTTTGAAATGGCACACATGCCTCATATGAAGAGTTAGGAGTTTAGATATGGGATGCAAAATGTTGTTGTAGGGAGTATATATGTCCAGTAAGTATTTACAGGTTATTTGAGCTATTTATTTCAATAATTCCAGCAATGTACACCCACACATGCACAGACATATAAAAGTATGTATTTCTAGGAAGACTCATCTGCAGGAAGAAAAGTTATTGGCCTTCGCTTTCATGGAACAGAAAGGTATAAGAACACAGCAGCAAGGGAATTGTTCAGATTGAATTCCTTGGTTGTTGTCAGAGTCTCTCAGTCTGGACTCTTTAGCAAGAAAGCAGGCTAGAGTCAAACTGACATGGGCACGGGACAGCAGGAGCTTAAATGATAAGTGGATATACACCCTGTGACTTAGTCTCCAAATCTCAGTCAGTTCTCACTCAGTAAGTGATAATGGCTATTCAGAATGCCTCGGTGTTTACTGAATGAAGTTGAGAGGTCTTTTCTGCGCAGACATTGGGATACATAAATTGGCAATTCTGTACTGGTGCTGGCATAGTCTAGTTACCAGCCACTATTCTGGTAACTGAAGTGAGAAGAGACAGAATAAATATTTCATGCAACAGCACTTCTACGTTCTACAATGAGTTTCACTAATTTTATTGCCTTCTATGAGTCTGTCATTGCCCCAAACCTCAGAAAACTGTCTACAACAAAGCTGGCTGCATGTCTCAGCACAGGGACACCTGCTACTGTAAATCTCCTGGGGAGGACAGATCTATACAGCAGCATTTGGCTGTTCCTGTCACCTAATAGTGTGGTCAATAGCTGTTCCTGTCACCTAATAGTGTGGTCAATAGCATATCTCCATATCTCCTCTTATATGTCTCTTGCATGAATAGTTGCAAAGCTAAAACAAAACAAAACAAACACTTCATACTATAACAAATGATCTTAAGATGAGAACCCCTGAAAATGACTGCCAGCTCAAAGGGAAGGACTGCCAGTTAGAAGGAAAATGAAGTTTTATTAAAGAAGAATTCACTTTAAGAACATGGAGGATAAAAAAGATAACATACATTGGCTGGTGTGGGTCTTCCGGGCTGTGTGTCTGTGTTCTGGAAGTTTTGTTTCCTGACGTTTCGCCAGCATCTGTGACTGGCATCTTCAGAGAGCAGGAGAACAGACAGGAGCAGTTCTCTCTGTGCCCAGGATGATGTGACCCTTTTGTGGGTATTTATA